CGAGTCAAAATAAAAATTCAAAAAAAAAAAAAAAATAAAAATAAATGTGTATGCAAAATATTCACGTTTTCTATGGTGTCCTAGAGTATTTTTTAACGAATATTCATTAGTATTTAAAACCTTATTTTCCAACGCTGGTCCCATGGGGAAAGGGGGCGATAAAGAAGAATTTTGGCATCCGGTTCCTTCTCTTTCAACTAATTTCCTACAACTTTTACTGCTGTGTATGCGTGAATTCGGGTACTATTGAAAGAGATAGATTTTGGCAGAGATAAGTCTTAACAAACGTGATGAAAAACACTGTCAAGTTTTATGAAGGAAGAGAAAGGGGACAGAATAACCCTGAGAAAAATCCCCTTTTTCGAAGAAAACTGGGGGAATTTTGAGTCAATTTGACTTCCGAACTAATTCTTTTAGCTTCATGTGCTTATGCAGACCAGACAAAGTCGTACAACAAAAAAGGTAAAAATATTTTAATTTTCACATTCTCTTTTCATTTTTTAGGTTTAATGCCCAGGAATTTTAATCATTGCGTAAGGTAAAGTGAAAAAATTATTTTGCGGCATTTGTGCGCTTTCTCTATCTTATTTATTTATTTTTCATTTTACTTACATAAATATAAATGTCACGAGTTTCGTAGAATATTTTCATGTTGATTAACATATTTAAATGTGTGTGTTTTCGTAGCTTGAATGTACCGTAATCATTTTAAAATATTTTCGATTGACATTGTTATTCAAATGAAAAAATATTATTTGCCTCTCGTATAGAAAGAATTTCTTTAGTCACTTATAAAGGACGATAGTAGTTAATTTAAAATACAAAACATTAATAGGAATTTGAATACATTCATTATTTATATTTGTGATTTAAAAGATACTCCGCAAAACGACGTACTAAAGTATTGTAAAAATCTAGAAACTGAGATAAGAGGTCTCAGGGGTGTTAAATTTGGGATGGGAATTCATCTTTTATAAACGCGCTGGACCTAGCAGACGAGATAGTAGCGGTTTTGACTTTGCTAAATAAAAAAGATTGTCCAATCGAGATTTTAAAATTCATATCGAACCTGAAATTTGCTCCAAATCTAGGTAAAGTTTTAAAAATATTGCTTACTCTCCCAATAAGTGTGGCAAGTGGAGAAAAGAGTTTCTCCAAATTAAAATTAATTAAAAAACATTTTACTCTTCACAACTACCGAGGATCGGCTAAACGGCTTGACAACAATAGCCATTGAACATGAACTGGCTGAAGAAATAAATGTTAAAAAAATTATAAAAAAACTCTCAGAATTAAAAGTGATAAAAGAACACTCGGTTTAAATGTATTTTTAATATGTCATTAAGATTTTTTTAATATTTAGTGGCTCTATAATTTGTTTTAGTATTTTTTTAATATCTGTATTTTATAATTATACACTAGAAATGACTCTTTTCTTTTTTTTTCTGTTCACCTCTTATTTTAATTTAGTTCCAAAAACATTAAATTGATAAATTAGTATTTTTTGCTAATCAAAAATTCAACATTATTGATATCATTTTTTTTTGCTCACGTTTTATTTTACCATTAAGCGCGGGAAGGGTCTAGGACATCTCTTTCAATTTTTGTTATAAACGAGCAGCATTTTACCTCTTTGCCCGGGGTGGCGAAACTGCTAGCGCCGGCCTTGACCATGGAGGGCGTTATACGCCGGATTTTACTGTAAAATAATATTTATGGCTAAGTGTCGTTTCCGCGTAATTCTTCCGAACATGTACATTAGCTAAGCAGAAAGCGGAGAGTGAGTAATCGAGTTGTGTAGCGCTCAAACAAAAGACGAATCGATGAAATTTGAAAATCGTTTAACTCCACGATCGCGTAAGTTGGGGTAGCGTAACTTGAGGTATTACTATACTTAATAAGAGGGAATCTGGTGGTATATGATACCTGCATACATATGCCTCGGATTATTACTTAAGACTTGTGGCTGAGTGGTTAGGGTCTTTGCCACGGGGCCGACAATGTCGAGTCACGATTTCGGGTCCTAGTGTCACTGAAGACCCGCATTGCAGATTTTGGAGATCGGGGTACCAGATCAGGAGTCATTCTTTTCCTTGGACCGTGGAGTGATGAAAGAACGTGGTCCGTCACCAATAGCCCTCATGTCGCTTCAGAGCATGACGTAATTTAAAATCAAATCAAATTATTTAAAATGCATAAAATGTGTGTTGTATCGAAGTCGCACATCCGGTATAGTGGCTAGTGACGTTGATTGCTATGCCGTAGAGTCTGGGTTTGAATCCCAGAGAAGGTATGGGTGTTTGAAAATGTATAGCTTTGAAGGAAGAAAG